GTAACTATAACTTTATATACCTCAAAAAATTTGTACATTATCTGGCTTCAACATGCTGAAGTCAGATTTGAAATATAATCATCCAGTTAATTTTAAATCCAATAATGCCGACGTAACTTTTGGTTGTCAGGATCTGTATATGGCAATACTATTATTAGGAATAGCAAACATGCCCATATCTATAATTTAAATATAACCATAATAAATTATCACATATAATTGCAAATTATTATAAAAATTACCTGTGTATCAAATAACCCTTTAAAACTAAAATATGCTTGGTCAATCAACAATAATTTTCCTGATAATATTTGTGCCATATAATTAACCTTGGCGGTTATAATTTCAGCATAATAAGGAACAGCATATTTATTTGTTAAACCATATTCGCTCAGCATTATCATGTTCTTTTATATACAAAGTTGACCATATAATTGATTGTTAAAATAAAAATTTTTATTTATAATTACCTTGCTCCTATCAAATCGTATTGACAAACACAATTTACATAAAATGTATTCAATAATTGATAATAGCCAACCATATAGCATGAGCTGTATTAAATAAATGTAAGCATGAATATAGATTAAGTTATTGAACTATGTTAAAAATTATTAATTTAACCCCAAGAGGACCGCCTTTTATCATGGTGCCCACTTCGCCGTTATTAGCACATGGTGTTTGACAAATTAAGGAACTAGTATAATTAACAATCAAACTCATACGAAATAAACTATATGAGTGATAAATATTTAGCGTTTGAGTTATTGTATTTAACATTGAGGACTATTTTAATAAATTTTATACATCTTTATGAGTTTACGTAATAAAATTTATGCTAGGTTAGGTTGAGAATTATTTTACCAGTTTACTAAAAATTGAGATATTCAATATAGTAGTTATATAGTTATAACTATATTATAGTTTGAATCAATACAATATATTTTTACATGCTTTGTTTATAGGGATATACGTATGTAAAATATAATTAAATTTTTATTTGCCTTAAATTGATTGAAAAAGTTACAATAGATAATTAATTTACAAATGAAAATATTGTTAATACAAAATAAATTAATTAAAATCATGGTGGAGAATTAAATAATTTAATTAAAATTGTTGCATAATAAACTTTATATTATATTGAATATTACATTCAAATTCAATAATTAATAAATCTCTTTCGTATATCAAAGGCTGCGTTGAAAGAATTAACATAGTTATATAATAAATAATATATTAAATCAAAAAATGTCAAGCTCTTGTTTAATAAAAGCCATATACCCTTGTTCATTGTACGTTAAATTGCACTTTAAAAGACTAGATTTATCAAACTTAAAAACATTTTAGTGTATTTAATAAGAACATATACATATTCATAGGTAATCATATTAGTTGTTGTTTTAGCAAAACTAAATTAAATATACCCTAATACACATATAGCATATAAAGTTGTAAAGCACTTTAGTTATAAATATTTGTTGTAGCAATTTATTTATAGTATTTATATGAATTAAATAAATAATTGATTGATATTTATGTAATTTTTTAAATTCACATCTAAATAACTTATAATCTTACTGACATTTGTTATTTGAATTTTACTTATTTATTATTGCGAGCAAACTAGTTATTATTAAATTTAATCATATCGAGAATACATATAATCTATAATAATATATAAATATAATATATTTTGTATAATCATTAAGTTTTAATTGAGTTAAATTTGTTATTTTATTAAGCCACAGAGTGAGCATGCAGTAAGATTTGTATAATATAAATTTATGAAGGTCAATTTACAAAATTGCCTCATGTTATATTGCTATAATTTATAAATGCTCAAGGTTGCACTTACTGTACAGTATATTGTATAATGTATTTTCACGCCATTCCCACTTTTACCATATTATTTACCAATAGTTAAAGCATATTTGTTAAAATTTAACAGTTAATTATGATAGTACTATTAGAAAAGATTACATGTATTGTGAATATCAAACGTTGTTTATATTTTTAAACATAACATTTGAATATAAAAATTATATTGGTGTTATTTTAAATATATTTTAAGTTGTTTAATAAATGTATGAATAATCTATTGTTTAAGAATAATAATGAATGTAAATAAAATGTGTAGCGTTTGTGGCCATAATAAAGGAGTTGGTAAGTTATATATTATACCTATGTAACATAGGCTATGTTTATACAAATTCACATTTTTGGTATTAGCAAATAATTATTTAATTTAATGTTAAACTAAATGTATATTTAGGCCGAAATTACTGCGCGATTACCTGCGAGTCGTGTAAAATGTTTTTCAAGCGAACGGCACTTAAAAATCAGGTCAACTAAACATTGATACTAAAAATAAAATTTTTAATTTTTGTTAGTTTACTAATTCTAACAGACGTTTGACTGTCCGTCGGGTGGAAAATGCAAAGTAAATGCAATTACTAGAAAGTTATGCACCAAATGTCGGATTCAAAAGTGTTTTGCCGTTGGAATGAGAAAAGTATAGTTTTATATTGTTTTTGTATATTATTTTTGAAACACTTGTTATAATCTCTTATAGGAATTGTTGAAAAGCTATGGGTTAGTAGATGTTGACCGAGAGTATAGCACCAGTACTAATAGCTCACCACAATCGGCACAATCCGATGATAATTATTGCCATGAAATCGATATATTGCTGGAAAACACAATCAATACGAGTGCCGAAGAGCTTAGGGAACAGATCAGAGATATTGAAAACTATGTGACAAACAATATATTGATCGCCAGCGATAAACAGTTACCAAAAATGCCAGTAATTCCCGTATTCCGGGAACTCATCGATTATAAGGGTTTGAATCAATTAGAGTGCAATCGGATGCGGGAATTGATGACAGCATCCGATGTATTCAAACGCTACAAATTGGGCAAAAATATAGTGAAAAGCAAAGACAAGGATGTGGTAACCAAATTATTTATGCCCCGAACTGAGGCCCACATCAGGGATGTAATAAATTTCACCAAGGGCCTTAAAGCATTTGTCAATGTCTGCCCCGATGATCAGTTGGCCCTGATTAAATCTAGTTTTATGGAGGTGTATTTATTGAGATTTCTCACTTATTACAATCGAGAGAAACAATATTTTATAGTGGATATGGTAAGTGTTTTTAAATAAAATGCTTACCCAATAAATAAATTAGTTCATGTTGTTTTAGGATCAAAATACTTCGCTATGGCTTGGTTTAGAGGATTTTAAATTTACCATATTTCTTGATTATGTAAATAATGTGTACCCGGAGTGGGAAAGGGACCCGATCATTCTGGAACTGGTACTGACTTTTATAATAAAGATTTACAATTAATTACCGTAATTAAATTTTACTAGTTTGCATTAACTTTATATAATTTATTTATAGTTAACTGCGATTATAATATTCAACCCAAAGCACCCCGATCTTAGTCATAGAGCTAGTATTAAGTAAGTATTCAAGTGCCAAATTATGTTAACAAGAATGATCATGTTCAATTTACATATAATTAATAGACTCGAACAACAAATATACATATATTTATTGCGCAAATACTTACAATTGAAATGTCGGTCACAATTTGAATCGGAGCTGAGATTACAAACGTTAATGAATTCAATGACTGATCTGAAGATCGCCGGAGATTTGCACAGAGAGGACGAGATTAATGAATACCATAATTATAAGCCATATTACGGACCACTACTTAAAGAGCTCTATGGACTATAAAGTTATCTCAACATGTTCATTTTTGTAAATTAATTTATCATTTCAAATATGATTATTCTTTGTGAGAATATTTAATTTTTTCATTATTTAATGTGTTAATATTTCACTATTTTAACATAAAGTACATGTACAGAACATTTTGCATTACCTTTTCGTTTGATACATATTAATAAACAACCGGCAAATTAAAAATAATAATGGCATTTTTAAGATAATAATTAATTATTAAAAATAATTACAATTTTAAAGATAATTAAAAAATTAATTGATTAATTCATTAATAAAAAAAATTCTTAAGAATAAAGTTTAAACTATTAATAGTTATAGCTAGGCATAATTTATTTAACACACACGAAACAAGTTTTATTACATATAAACAACTTATCTGTAATGATATTTGTTGCCTACAAGTTGTAAGTTAACGTTTGATGAATGTCTTATTACATTTAACTATTAATGTACATTTATTTACAGTAGTATCATTGATAGTCTATCACAGTGTGTACTGTATTTCAATACATTGCATAAGAAACGACATAAAGTAATTGCATAACTAAATCAATACAATGTGCTAAACGTATTGTGTTTATTTACCATTGCCATTTAGTTTTTCAATCACCGTTAATTATACTGTACTGTCATTTGGGAATTGAGTTTTCACGTAAATATGTTCTTTGTGTTCAATCATGTTTACATAAATGTTGCCATAATAGCAATTATTATACATTTTGATTGAATATTTATTTATAAACTTTATATAAACTGTGATATTTATAAATTGACTATTTAACTAAAGTTAACTGTTGTACCATGATACGTTGACAATAATCTATGTAACTATTTTATTAGCAAATTCCCCGTAAAAATGGCTGGAAAACAAGCGGAGAGAATATGCGGCGTTTGCGGCGATTCAAAATATATCGGTATTAATAAACAAAAAACAATAATTTTTTATAATTTAAATTTAATTTTTATGTAATTCTAGGCCGAAATTTTTGCGCCACCACTTGTGAGAGTTGCAAAGCGTTTTTCCGGAGAACTGCCCTCAGAATTACCGTAATACTTTGTTGTTACCAAATAATTACAACCATAACTAATTAATTGATTAATGTTGATTATATTTGAACAGGTATTGCACTGCGCCTCCAATGGGTTGTGCGAAATCACTGCCCAAACCCGCAAACTATGTCAAAAATGTAGACTTCAAAAGTGTTTAGCCATTGGAATGAGAAGTGTATTTAAAATTTAACTAAATATATAGTAAATGAGTTATAAATTTATTTTTTAAATGATTTATTCACTGAAGGAATTCATTAGAAGCGAAACCGAAAACGAAATCCGAAAACATATTTATAGAGAGAAACGACAGAAAAAATTGTTAGAAAAAAGGCTGAAAAGTTGTGGCAATTTGTCGGACACGGACTCAAAACCGGATTCAATAGGAATTGATAGCAATTACAGCAATGAAAGCAAAAAAATCGATGAATGGATTGACAGTATAGACGATAAAGAGCTGAGCGAACAGATCGACGAAATCAATAGCTGTTTAACGGGAGAAACGGAAGCGACGAAACAAATCCGGCAAAAGTCGGCTGCGATGGCAATCGTACCGATAGTCAAACCTATTGTCGACTACTGCGGCATAAATCAATTGGAGAGCAGCCGTATGACAGAGTTGTCGGACGCGTGCCTAGTATTCAATTACCCGTCACTGAGCGACAATAGGGTGACCACAACTGATTTACTAGAGTTAATGATCATTACAAACCGGATGACAGAGGTTCTCATACAAGACGTGATCACTTTTACCAAACGTTTGCGAGGGTTTCAAAAGTTTTGCGCCGACGACCAGTTGGCGCTCTTAAAGCACGGCTTTCTCGATATCATTTATCTCCAGGGCTTTACTTGTTATGATCCCGAGAGGCAAGAGTTTAATTATTCCATAGTGAGTTGAGCATGGTTGTTTTTAAATTTTATTATTTATATACAAACTTGCCAAAGAACAATTTTAATTGATGTTGACGTATTTTACATCTAGGATGAAAATCACACATTAACTGTCAGTTTGGATGCTCTTAAAGTATACCGGAAATCCATATACGATATGTTATTGTTATTAATTAGCAAACTATTACCAGAATGGAACCGGGATCCTGTAATAATGAACTTGGTAAATTAGTAATATTAGCAAATATTTATCATTAATTTGTATGTATTTTTGTTTGCATAGTTAACAGCAATTTTGTTATATAACCCAAATCGATCAAATTTATCGCACAGACAAAGCATTAAGTAAGTAATGAATGTTAAATATTGACTATAAAATTATAATTATTGTGATTGGTTATATCATCTATCTGAATAATATTAATTTGTTTGATTGTTAGATTCGAACAACAACTGTATATATATTTACTGCAAAGATATCTACTATTGAAGTGTGGGTCAGAATCGGAGTCCAAACCCAGACTACAGGCGCTCATGACTTCGTTGACTGATCTGACAATTACTGGCGAAACCCATAAACGCATTGAATTGTCAGAAGTGGCCGAAAATAATGCACTCATTCAATATTACGGCCCATTGTTTCGAGAGATTTATGATTTATAAATTTAATTAATTTTATTTTTAAATTATGTTTAGCCATCGTTAGTTAAAACTCTATTTGTTAATAATATTATTTCATAATGTCATAATAAATGTATTACTTTTATTAAATGAAACATATATACTCAAAGAAAATATTTAATATATTAAACCATACAATGATTACCACTAATATGTTATCAGTAATTAAATAATCAGTGTTGCTAATAAATGCTATAAAAATATCATACCTCTACTCATTCTAAATGTCAATATATTAATACATAACCTAATTATTGCATAAAAAAATCAATAAAATGTGTTAAAATATTGTGTTTATTTGTTAGCATCATTCAATGTATTAAGTGATGTTCATTTAACAAAATATTGTCATTTGGAAATTGATTTAGCATGTAAATAAGTTATTTTGTTTAATCAAATGTTTTTATTAATAAATTCTGTAATGCTAATAATTATAATACATTTATACGGCCATTTGTAATGTAATGTAAATTAATTATTACTTGTTTATAAATTCCATTGTATCCAGGTAAGTTTTCAACAATCTAGGTTTATGTGGAAGTAATTAACAAATTGGCCAAACAATGACTGGTAATAAACCGCAGAGAATATGTGATGTTTGCGGCGATACAAAACATATAGGTATTAATATCCAACCAAATCAATCATAATTATATTTTATTTTAATACAATTTTAAGGTAGGAACTTTTGTGCCGACACATGTGAATCGTGCAAAGCCTTTTTTCGGAGAACAGCCCTCAAAACTACCGTATGAAACAATTTATATAATTATGATGGTGATTAATATTTAATTAAATGTTGGTTATTTTCATACAGGTATTGCACTGCGCCTCCAATGGGTTGTGTAAAATCAATGTTCAAACCCGTAAACTATGTCAAAAATGTAGACTTCAAAAATGTTTGGCAATCGGAATGCAAATTGTATTTTTAAACTTAATTAAACATTGAATTTACAAAATTATTTATAAATATTTATTTACTTTAGGAACTCATTAGAAGCGAAACCCAGAATGAGTACAGAAAACAAATATATAGAGATAAACAGCAGAAAAAATTATTGGATAAAAAGCTAAATAATTGTAACGATTTGTCGGACACGGACTCAAACCTATCAAAACCGGATTCAATAGGAATTTATAGCAATTACAGCAATGAAAGCAAAGAAATTGATGAATGGATTGACAGTATAGACGATAAAGAGCTGAGCGAACAGATCGACGAAATCAAGCGCTGTTTAACGGAAGAGACGGAAGCGATGAAACAAATCCGGCAAAAGTCGGCTGCGATGGCAATCGTACCGATAGTCAAACCAATTGTCGACTACTGCGGCATAAATCAGTTGGAGAGCAGTCGCATGACTGAGTTGTCCGACGCGTGCCTAATATTCAATTACCAATTGAGTGACAATAGGGTGACCACAACAGGTCATCTAGAGATGATGATTTTGACCAACCGGATATTTGAAGTTCAAATTCAAAACGTGATCACTTTTACCAAGCATTTGCCAGGGTTTCAAAAGTTTTGCGCCGACGACCAGTTGGCGCTCGTAAAACACGGCTTTAACGATATGATTTTTCTACGAGGGTTAAGCTATTATGATCCCAATACACGTGAATTTAATTATTACATAGTAAGTTTATCATGGTTATTATCATTTACATGTTTTAATTAATATATTTAATCTAGGATGAGAATAGCACCCTGTCAATTACTTTAGGTGCCTTTAGTGATCAACGACCGAATACACACGAAATGTTACTGATATTACTCAGTAAACTATTACCCGAATGGGACCATGATCCTATTTTAATGGATCTGGTAAATTAATTATTTTAACAAATGTTTTTAACTCATTAATTTGAATTAATTTTAATAGTTAACTGCAATTGTTTTACTTAACCCAAAGCGACCGAATCTATCGCATAAAACCAGTATTAAGTAAGTAATTATTAATATTCAAAATTTCATTTATAATTTATTACTTTATTTGTTAGACTCGAACAACAACTGTATATATATTTACTGCAAAGATATCTACTATTAAAGTGCGGATCGGAATCGGAGTCCAAACCGAGACTACAGGCGCTCATGAATTCATTAACCGATCTCTCAATTACTGCCGAAACCCATAAACGCTATGAATTGGCAGAAGTGGCCGAAAATCATACACTCATTCAATATTACGGCCCATTATTTAGAGAGATATATGATATATAAATTTAAATACTTTTATTCTTTAAATGATCAATATTAACCAGCATTGTTAAACTCTATTTGTAAATAATATCATTTATAATAGATTTATTACCTTTATAAATTGAAAAATATATTTACAAATAAAATATTTAACTACATTAGCCAAAGTTTACTACTGATTACTTATCACTGATAAATAGTGTTTAAATAATCAGTGTTGCTGTTGCTAATAAATGTTATAATAATATCATAAAGCTAAATGTCAACATATTAAAACATACATGTATTTCAATCATTGCATAAGAAAATTAATATGTGTTTAAACATTGTGTTTATTTTATTATAATTATTCAATTCATTAAGTGATGTTTAATTCAAAAATATTGTCATTTGAAAATTAATAGTTTGTATAAATAACTTATTTATACATTGTCTTTTGCTCCTAAAAACCTTTATAACAATTAATAGTATAGAATTTTGCTATTGTTTATAATTACATACAATTGTATCAAGTACGTTAAATGTTATTATGTTATTTGTTTATAAATTCTTATGGTATCAAGTTTGGTTTATCTGTAATCTAAGTTCGCAACAAAACAATTAACAAAATTGAATAATGTCTGAAAATGACCGCATTTGTGGTGTTTGTGGAGATACAAAATTTATAGGTATATTTAATAATAACATTAAATATATTTACAACCAAGTTCAATTTTATATGAATGCAATGTTTAGGCAGAAACTTTTGTGCCAACACTTGTGGCTCGTGTAAGGCGTTCTTCCGGAGGGCTGCCCTCAAGTCTACGGTAGGAAATAGTTTATATAATAATGATTATGGTTTTATATTGTATTTAAATGAATGTTGGTTATATTTAAACAGGTATTGCATTGTGCCTCCAATGGGTTGTGCGAAATCACTGCCCAAACCCGCAAACTATGTCAAAAATGTAGACTTCAAAAGTGTTTCGCCATTGGAATGAGAATTGTATTTAACATTTAATTTATATTGAATTTAAATTATTTATTAATTTCAATGTTTATTCACTGAAGGAATTCATAAGAAGTGAAACCGAAAACGAAGTTCGAAAGCAAATATATAGAGAGAAACGCCAGAAGAAACTATTGGAAAATAGGCTTAAAAATTGTGTTGATTTGTCAGAAACGGACTCAAATCAATCAAAACAGGATTCAATAGGAATTGATAGCAATAATAGCAATGAAATCGATGAATGGATTAACAGTATAGACGATATAGAGCTGAGCGAACAGATCGACGAAATAATGTGTTGTTTAACGGGAGAGACGGAAGCGATGCAACAAATCCGGCAAAAGTCGGCTGCGATGGCAATCGTACCGATAGTCAAACCAATGGTCGACTACTGCGGCATAAATCAGTTAGAGAGTAGCCGTATAACCGAGTTGTCCAACGCGTCACTAGTGCTCGATTACCCGGCATTAAGTGACAATAGGGTGACCATCACCGGTCACCTCGAGATGATGATCTTTACGAACGGACTTTTTGAAAATCACATCCAAAATGTGATCACTTTTACCAAACGTTTGCGAGGGTTTCAAAAGTTTTGCGCCGACGACCAGTTGGCGCTCGTAAAGCACGGCTTACTTGATATAACATTTCTACGAGGGTTTAAATATTATGATTTACAGAATCAAGTGTTTAAATTTTATATAGTAAGTTGATCATGGTTATTTTATTTTAATATATATATAAAATCTAGATTCTGTAATTTTATTTAGTTAAAGTTAAGTTATTTATTTTATTATAAATTAATTATTAATGTTTGTAATGCTAATTATTTAGGATAAAAATAACACATTAACAGTGGGTTTGTGTGACTTTAAAGATCACAAGAGAAATACATACGATATGATACTTCTGTTAATCAGCAAACTATTACCCGAGTGGGACCAGGATGAAATTTTAATGGATTTGGTAAATAATTTATTTTAAAAAATATTTATAATTAATTTACAAATAATTTATGTTTTTATTTTAATTAGTTAACTGCAATTGTTTTACTTAACCCAAAGCGACCGAATCTATTGCACAGACAAAGTATTAAGTATGCAATTAATTATTTTGTGCAATTAATTATTTTTAAACATTGTATTTATAATTATTAATTTATTTGTTAGACTCGAACAACAACTGTATATATATTTAATGCAAAGATATCTACTATTGAAGTGTGGGTCAGAATCGGAGTCCAAACCCAGAGTACAGGCGCTCATGAATTCATTGACTGATCTCTCAATTACTGCCGAAAGTCATAAACGCTATGAATTGTCAGAAGTGGCCGAAAATCATACACTCATTCAATATTACGGCCCATTATTTCGAGAGATTTATGATTTGTAATATACACTTGGTTCAAATACCCTATCAGTTTATGTCTTTTATCTTTGTTTATTTAAATAATTTAATACAAAATATAATAAATACAATTATAACTATTTCCTAGAAATTAATTAATTGATTAATTTTCGAAAATAAATGTGTTGTATCGGTACAGGGAAAATTTAATAAAGTTATCATATATAAAGTAGAGTATACATGTGTTAAGTAAACAAGTGTACGTTTATATAAACATAACAATAATTAATTATTATAAAATATGAAGATAATTTAATCAATATAAAAGTACCTGTTGTAATGCATGGCAACTATTTCATAAGTATTAAGTTATATGAAATATAAGTATACGGTATAAGTACTGACTCTCTCTATCTCTTATTTAAATCATTTATAAATGTGTCAATAAATATTATAACTAACCATTTTGTTTTGTTTTTAACGTTAAATATGCAAACAATATCACATTTTTACACTATTACATTTTGAGATACTTTGCCATTTATGTGAATAATTAAATTAGTTTATATTCTACAAACTAACTTATTTTACTTTCATTAAATAAAGCATACAATTATTCAACAAAAAGGTAATTAATTTTAAAATAGAATAATATTTTCTAATTTTGTCGCTAGTTATACTTCTATTATATTTTTAGACATTCACCTTGGTTAATTTAATCCATAATTACTTATTCAATATGAGTGCTAATAAAAAAGACAGAATTTGTGGCGTTTGCGACGATAGTAAACAAATAGGTATTTATTGTAATTATTATAATTAATATAAAAATCATAAATTTTAATAATTATACACAAAATAATAATAAACTTAAAAATTAATATAATTTTAGGCCGAAATTTTGGTGCCATATCATGTGAATCATGCAAAGCATTTTTTAGGAGAACTGCCCTCAAGAATATAGTTAGAAATAGTTAATATTTAATTAATAAATTAATTATTACTAATTTATACAATGTCATTTTATTTAGCCCTACTATTGTCCGTCAAATGGCAATTGTATTATGACATTGAAAACACGCAAACTATGCCAAAAATGTAGACTCGATAAGTGTTTGGCTATCGGTATGAAAGTTGTACGTAATTTACATTCATTTAGTTAATATCCAATTGATTTAAACATTATTTTAATTTATTATCAATTTTTTGACAGCAATTGATCCGGAGTTTTGATGCGCGAGAAATGAACGCACAATTAGCGGGTCTTCAGACTAGTAATCAAACCATGGATTCAGATCTCAGTGACGGATCTCATAGCGGATCAAATGATGGCCACCAAGACGTCGACAATGACCGGGAAATCGACGACTTAATTGAAAACAGCGACGATATCCACGACCAGGAGCTGTACGACCAGATGCTGGCCATTGAGAATTGTCTATTTGGCACAACCGTCACATCCAATGTGAAACATATGGCCCAGAGTTTGGCCACAACGCCAATGGTTAGGGTTATCACGGATTACGAGGGTATCAATCAGTTGGAGTGCCGGCGTATCCGTGAATTACACACAGCGACCGATATTTTCAATTACAATATCAGTGATAATGTGCTAAACATTACGGATGTGACTGAATTGGTCCGCTTGACGACCGGCCGGACAGAGGGTCACATCCGGGAAGTGATCGCATTTACCAAAGGCTTAGAGGGGTTCACAAAGTGCTGCGCCGACGACCAGTTGTCGCTCGTGAAGTGCGGCTGCATTGAAGTGATTTATATGCGGGGTATCGACTCGTATGACTCCAACACAGATTGTTTTAATTTTCATCTAGTTAGTAAATATATGATAGTTAATCAGGTTTAATACAAATTAATCTAAATGTAATCATATTTTTGTCTTATTTATTGTAATAGGATAATAATAGTACACTTAAGTTGCATCTAGGATTATTTAAGCCCGAACGCCGAGACACTTATGGTATGTTTAGAAGTTATGTGGATAAGTTTTTAGGTCTGGTAAATGGCGATCCGGTTATTATGAACTTGGTAAATTACAAATATTATTTTATTAAGCAATTATTTTATTTCCATGGTTAATTAATTTGTGATTTATACAGCTGTGCGCGATTATCATGTACAATCCTAATCGACCAAACTTAAAACATAAGTACAATATAAAGTAAGTGATCGTTATTTAATATTTTATAAACCATTAAGAATATAATTAATTAATTATTAATTGTATTGTTTGTTAGACTCGAACAACAACTGTATATATATTTACTGCAAAGATATCTACTATTGAAATACCGCTCGGAATCGGAATCACAGACAAGACTACAGGCGCTGATGAATGCGTTGACAGACTTGAGAAGTGCCACAAAATTGCATAAACACAACGAATTGGAAGACATTCACCAAAACAAACATTTCCTACAATATTATGGACCACTTTTTAGAGAGATTTATGATTTGGTTTAAATACTCGACAATGTATTAAAAAACAACCTAGGTCCTAGTTCGTAATCCTATTTATAATTGTTGTCAATAAATTAGTTTAGTCACTCATTCTTATGCATTGTTTGTCATCTCATTTATTATTGTTTAATCATGTTTTGTATCACTATTTGTGTCGTTAATCTCATTTATCCATTAATCATTGAATGTATAATGAAATGCGGATAATGTGGTCACACGTTTGCGATTATCGACAACTTTATTAATATTTGACTCAATCATATTCGATGACCATATTTTCAAACGTGATCGCAATGTTTTTGCGCAAATTTTACCAGTTTTGTCATTTTTAATCGATTTCATTAGGGAAAAAAATTGTTCACAATTAAAAGTAGATCCAAAATTACAAAATTTGTTTACCTGGTTGTGCCCTTTATGTTGAATATAATTATATTTAATTATAATGTGAAATGTCTGATAATTATAGATTTAATCAATTAATTATGGATATATTTATGTTAGATATTTGTATTGAACATGTGGCTACACTAAGTATAGCCGCTATACTTGGTTGAACACGAATATTCTTATGCATTGTTTGTCATCTCATTTATTATTGTTTAATCATGTTTTGTATCACTATTTGTGTCGTTAATCTCATTTATCCATTAATCATTGAATGTATAATGAAATGCGGATAATGTGGTCACCCTATCATCACATATGTTTTGTTGAGAGCAGTGGTCACGAAATGTGACCAAAATGTTGCATTCAATACAACTCTCTATTTATTGTCATTTCATTTGTGACAACATTTGTGAGAAACACGTGAATCACATGTAAATCCATTTCTCAATTCAATTCACATTTAATTGTTTTAATAATTGATTGAATTTGTTGTGAAAATGGATTCAAATGAGTTGGAAGTGATGGCAAACACATCCGCTAAAAGGAAAGCTGACGAGTGAGTGATTGCGTGATAAAATGACAACAATGAGGGCGATTTAGTCACACACACACCCATACGAGACTGGGTTGACAACAAATAAATGCAGAAGACATCGGTCCACTGCTGTGCGAAACGATGAAAAAGTTAGCCCAATTTGGTAACCATTTAAGACAAGTAACCTCTGATTTGTCGATTAATCTCTGTTTCAAAACAAATCACAAAACAATGAGTGAATTGAGAAAATCGAGTCAAACATCAAATACTTTTTCGTTATATAGTTTGGATATTTCTTTCTTAATCGGATCCATGAGTTGTATTTGTCCGGCACTGAAACCAACCAATAAATACAACATACACACAATCGGTGGTAATGATGGATGCATTGAAATCATGACACGTCGGATCCGTTCCCTTATATACCCTTTTGTCCACTGGTTGTGACAAATCGGCGGCCTTTCAGAGGTGAGATAGACATGAGTTTAAGTAAATCATACAACAGATAATGTAATACTTTTTTAACGCCTTTATAGTTGACTCGCAACAGGTGTTCGTGTCCGCCAACCACGGCTCCATCTGCATTGGGTCGGGCGGCGGCCGCTTCGTGGATGAGTCGCTGACCAGAGGCCAAAGCGACAAATGCGAAACCGTCGGGTGGATGAGCGCGACCACAGCGACGACCGGGAAGACGACGTGTTGTGTAAAGACAATAATACCAATGAATGTAATAATCGCGAGCAGAATAGAGAGAGAGAGAGAGAGAGTGAGTGTTGTGTGAGTTGTCAACCGTAGAGAGTGTTATGTTGTAATGTTTGAATGATTGACTCTTTGCA